GAAGCTCTTGGGGGCATGAATGTGCTCATCCCAATCTGTGCTAGATTATGAGGTATCCTATATGCAAGCTTGACATTTTGGCCTGAGAGTGGGTCGAGAGGAAATCAATTTTAGAGATACCCTGTCATATATTCAAATCTTGGACTGAGGGACGTTGACCTGGTCTGATCTGGGCCTCCAAAATCATTAGCAATCATCTGGCAAACATGTTGTTTGCGCTCAGTTCTCAAACGCCATGCACAGACAGATGCAATACGTACATAGATGTAGACAAAAGTGTTACCGTTTGTCCATTTAACATTTCCTACTACATACTGAATACAACTCACCAAGTCTAAATTCAAAGAGGTGGCATTAAGGTTTGGAGTAAGTTTGGCAAAACAGACTGAAGCAAAAAACAATACAAATGTGCATTATTTTTTTCCGGATGCACTGTAAGCACACCTAGCCAAAAGCAGCAAAAAGTGGTTCAGAGTTTAGAATGTCACTTTAGTATGTTCAAAATGGATCTCTGTCCTCCTCACCCAGTGCTTCAGCAAGGCTCAGAACAATGGGCAGCTGGCTCCGAGAGACGGACGGGCTGCGGCTGAGAGGAGGCAGTTCTGCCAGTGGCCCTGCAAGTGTCGGGAAAGACCTCACTGTGCCCCGGGGGTGAGCTCCGTCCTGGACGGGTGTGGCTGCTGCAAGAGCTGTGCCAGGCAGATTGGACAATCGTGCAATGAGAGGGACGTCTGTGACCCACACAAGAGCATGTACTGCGACTTCTCAGCGGACCAGCCAAGATATGAGGTCGGAGTGTGTGCATGTGAGTGGCTCTCATCTTTTCTTAAACTAGTCATAATAGGGTGGGTAAATTCAATCATTTTCTGTTTCAATCTAAATTTCTTACTTCCTTACACCTTGGGCAGCCCGTTCTGCATGCTGTTACCAGATGTTCAGATTGAAAGTATATGTACCTACATGTTGATTAAATATGTATTTGATACAGCTGTAGCCTACTTAAAGTCAGTGTGTATCATTTAGGAGAATCTATTGGCAGAAGTGGAATATAATATTCAAAGCTATGTTTTTATTAGTCCATAATCAACTGAATGTAAGAAACTTAGAATGAGCTGTTTTTATCCCTTCTATGGAGACAGCCATGTTGAACCGCCATGTTTTTACACTAGCCCAGTACGGACAAACCAAACACTGGCTCTAGATAGGGGCCTTTCATGTTTTTATCTACAGAAATCAACTTCACTGCTAGGTGCCACTAAATCCTACACACAGGTTCCCTGGAGACCTTTAGTATACCACTGGCCCAAAAAGCTATTTTCCTATACAAAACCTTTGGAAAAGGAGGGGCCCTAGCCAACAGGAAGATAAACGGCTTGACAAGGACCCAAAAAACATGGATGCATAAAGAAACCAGTGAAGGGCTTTTTTGGCATATGCACATAGTGAGTGACATCTTTAATGTGGAATCCAGTTTGCCCTTGATACATGGGTGCTGTTTTTTTTTGAGAGCTTTTTTTAAGCCGCACATCCTGGACACCAGTTCTTTCTTCTTTTTATTACCAAGGATAAATGGGGCAGGCTGTTAGCTCACCTGGTAGAGTTGACGCCCCATATACCAAGGCTGAGTCCTTGCTGCAGAGACCATCAGTTTGACTTTGACCTGTGGCCCTTTGCTGCATGTCATCCCCTCTCTCCCCCCTTTCCTGTCACTCTACAGCTGTCACTGTCAATTAAAGGCAAAATAATATATTAAAAAAACCCTCAAAAATTCAGAACATTAGAAGACCTATTTTAAATCTAACTAAATTTGGTTTCTAAAGCACACCAACAGTAAAGTCAATCTCTAAACTCAATATCTCATTGGAAACAGATCTAAAAATAAATCACATTCCTGAGTGAAGTTAATAAAGAATGAAGAAAAACAAACATCAGGCAGTTTCAGTCATTCCTCCTACCCTCTGGTGTGAGTCAGTACCTGCAGGTAACGCTGCAGAGAGAGGGGGGACACATTTTAAGGTACATGGCAAACTAAGCCAAACAGTGAGACTACGTAGCTGTTTTTACATAAGAAACAAATGTCCTGAGAATGAGGTCGGGACACTCCTCGAGTCCAAAACCCCTCCCTGTGGACACATACCTTTAGACAGAACAAATAATTCACCTTTGACGCAAATCAGATCCATGGTATAGACCAGGCACATTCCAGACATGTTTTTCAGTCCACCACTTCACAAGCATCTGACGAAACAGATACACACAACACACACATAACAGACTCACATTTCAACCTGCAACCTGAAGCGTGCTTTTAGCCTTCAAGTCTATTTCCTTCTAGCTTATCTGTGTAACTACAGGGATTGTGTACTAGGCTGTGAAAAAACAGCACTACAATAAATATGTGCAGTATATTACAAAACATTGATGTGTAGATTTCCACATTTCCATTTACTTTTATTGTATGAATAGATACAGTTCTGTAAAGAAATTATTGGCAGATTGTATTTAATCTGGTGCATTTGAATTGTCGTGCTCATAATGGACTCAATTATTTGGAATAAACTGTTTGGGCTAACAACTACAACACAGCAATTATGATATTAATTTAGAGTCACAATTCTGAATATTTAATACATCATCAAAAAAGTTAATCACAGTGATTTAATATCTTTATAGTACGTTCACGCTCCTCTTTGCTTCCTGTCAAAATAATTGTGTGATAAAGTTCTTCAGCCAAATGTATTTATGTAAAAATCATACATAGCTTTTAAGATTCACAGTAACATCATGAAGAGAGGTGCATTGCCAGCATCAGTGCCTACCAGAGCCCCGCCATGTTTCCCTCTTTCTTTCAGACCTGATGGCAGTGGGCTGTGACCTGAATGGGGCCCACTATGAGAACGGGGAAGCTTTCCAGCCCAGCCCTCTCTATAAGTGCACATGTATTGCTGGAGCCATCGGCTGTACCCCTGCTTTCATTGAGAAGCCTGCCAGTCTCTTAGGCCCCGCCCCGCTGATGGGCAACATGCCAGCCGGCCTTCGCAGTGGCCAGAGCCCAAAGAAGCACCAGCAGGACACTACCTACATGTCAGGTGTGTGTTTATAGAGTAAACTTGTGGAGAAGGGCCAGCCTGTCCAGCCTGGAATGCTAATTGCTGTTCAGGTTATCTGGATGGGGAAGCAGAGTGGGCCTTTCATTACTCTGGCAGTGTGAGCAGAGGGAGGAGTGAGGTGTGGCTGGCTGTGGTTAGACTGCCTCACAGAGGAACACAGAAAAATGGATGGTTCCAGTTATAAGTTATAAGAGCAGGGACAACTCAACTTTTATTAAAAGCATCAAAGATTCCACTTTGCTGTACCAGCATAGTTTTTTTGCTTTGCTTGGCAGGAAAGAAAATATCATGATGTGCTGGATTCAGGGAAACACTAAATTTGTCACTGTGGAAAAAACGATTGTTTAGATTTAAATGAACTGGCAGCTAGCTGACATCCACGCAAGGACACAGAAAGCTTTTTGGGAGGTCTAAAATGTCAGGAAGAGATCTGGCAATGTAAGCCTTCACGGAAAAGCAACTGGTTCTTTTGTTTTAATATATTAATATCAGTGAAGTTTGTCCAACAGAGTGCGCTGTGATTTACAATACTGTGACAAGCAGCACACATTAAGAGAGAAGAGAGAAGCAGCAGCTCTCAGCATGTAACGATGATTCAATACATTTTATAATACCAAGTTCACAATAAATTTTTTTTAACAGAATTAGAACAATTATTAAATGTCTACAAAATATATTTTCTCTTATTTTCTTTAGCAAATTCTAGAATGCGTTTTTATTTCAGAGATAGGATCTAACCCATGCCTTGGGATGTATATGTTAAATTATTATTTAACTTAAATATTCGTAAATAAAGTTATTTGTTGAAAGCAGCTTTCTGGGTATGTTTGCAGAGTAATGACTACGCAAATATACAGATAGAAGTGGAATATTTTCACTATATTGGCCGTCATATTGGTAATCTATGGTGTCCCCTCTAAAATTGGTATCAGTCTCAAAAATCCCATGTCAGTTGGGTTCTAAAGGAAACATTTCACATTTTAGGAGCTTATACAACTGGTGGCATAAAAAGAATGATCTTGTGGTATTTGGAGTCTTTTTTAGTTGCTCTGCTTGGCAGTGCAGTGGCAAACAGACTAGTTCTTTGTGTAGGGTGTTGCTGACACAGTGCCCTTTAACTGTAATACTGAAAGCTTACAGGGATCCTCCTTTAGCCTGGAAGAAGAACTGTCTGGTCCAGACCACCCCCTGGAGCCCCTGCTCCAAATCCTGCGGTCTGGGCATCTCTGTGCAGGTCAACAATGACAACAGCAAATGTGAGATGAGGAAGGACCGGCGCCTGTGTCTGCTGCGACCGTGTGAGAAGAGTGTGATGAAGACTGTTAAGGTGAAGTACTATTTGAGCATTGAAAAAGTTTGATATAATACCAAAAAATATACTGATAATATCACTGTTTTCCCCAATAGGTGCCAAAGGGAAAGACATGCCGGCCTAAATTCCAAGCAAAGAAAGCGGAGAAGCTTACACTATCTGGCTGCACCAGTACCAAGAAGTTTAAGCCCACATACTGTGGTGTCTGCAAAGACAAGCGCTGCTGTGTCCCCAACAAGTCACGCATGATCAAGGTCAACTTCACGTGTAAGGGAGGCTCCAACACACAGTGGAAGATGCAGTGGATAACGTCCTGCGTGTGCCAGAGGAGGTGCAATGATCCAGGTGACATGTTTTCTGACCTGCGGTTGCTGTAACAGAATCCAACCAGAGACAGACACAGGAGAAGAGCCCTGCTGTGACAGACTGGAAGGACTGAAATGCATAGTTTGGTTATTAAGCTCTCCACAGCAGTGGCGATTTGCCTCAAGAAATCTCAAAAAAGACAAAACTGAAACTACACAACCTCATTTCATAAGGAAGAGTGGCTGGGATCATTAAATTAATGAAGAAATACGTTGTAGTTATGATAAAAGCTTTTATGAACCCCGTCTTCAGGACACATATGTGCAATAACAACAAGGAGCATGGCCAGTGCAGTAGCTGTAACAGCAGATGTTGACTCATTAACAGTACCTCATATTATTATGGTCAGGGAGCCAAATCAGCTCATTCTACAGATTGAGTTAAACTCTTTTTACATGTTGTTCCTGCTTATTTTTTCAGACAGGGAAACATTTAATCAGGTCATAAATTAGACAATATTGATATATAACTTATAAAGGTATATACAAAAGACTTGGTTGTGTGAAGTCATTTTTAAAAGAATAATCATTGCTACAGAGAGAAAGCTACACAACAGAGTGGATCTTCATCTGGCGATGCTGAGCCTGGGTGCGTCAGGCATGAGTCTCCCTTTGGTGGCATCTAGATGGTGGTACTCCTCAATCAGTGAGCTCAGAGAGTTGGTGGCCTCTGAGAAGAAGCTCTGCTCCATCCCTTCTACTTGCAGGTAGTGGTGTAAGTGAGCCTTCAAAGAACACAGAAAGAGCACAATGTGCTGTTAAGTCATTAAGTCTGAAAGTATTTCAGTCTGATTTAGACTCCTCCATCACTCTTTAAAAAAAACATATGGCAATATGGAAAACCAAAAAAAGTTCTTAGCACGCAAGCAAGATTACTATTATGTATTCTCTCATGAAATGAAACTAGTGGGCAAAGGGGAACCTGCTCCATTCCAGTTTGTGCAGCAAAGAAGACCCAAAGTGGGTGTGTATTCTCTGCAGTTCGTTGTGCATTGTGAAACCCCCTCCATTGATAATGCATCCTTGATTACGGTTCTGGGGGGCTGGTTCAGTAGATAGCATCAAAGTTCCAAGACACTTGAACAGAATTCAATCAAGAACCAGAGCTAATTTGGCAGGAAAACACTTTGATGACAGTGAAAAAGTGTGTTCATTCCTGTAACCTTTACCCTCATTTTAAATAAAGATTAAACTGGAAATTATACATACTCCATAAAGACACATGTTTAACTGCATATGGTGCTTCCACTAGGACAGTAACTGATGACACCTTCCATTGATTACATACAAATCAATTAATGTAGGCATTATTTCTTCAATTAATTGTTTAGTCTATAGCAGTGAGATACCGATTAATTGGGCGACAAAAAAACAAAAATGTCTGCAGACCCATCTGTAGGCAGCCTCATCAGTGCGTTTGCCATGCAACAGTGTTAGTGTTCCCCCCTTGTGAGGTTTGGGAAGGTGGTGAAAAAGTTAGTCTGGAGCATCCTGCTGTAAACAATTTCTTTTATGAACAAATTTCTTCTCAATGACAGAAACTCTAATCTAGAACGGTTACCGGCTAGCGTTAAACATATATTCTGTTCTTTATAGAATAATGCAGTTGAATGACATTCTAACATACTGCACCATGCTCTTCCTTAAATACCAGTCACTTTCTGTACTTACTGTCTAAGGTGATCATGTATATAGGATTGTAATGCGCATGGAATAATGGAATTATACACGTTTTGATATTGGTTCTCGAAAAACCCATATTAGTCTACAACCACTAGTCTATAACATGTCAAAAACAAATGACAAAAGTCCACCACAAGTTATCAAAAAACCAAAAGGTATTGAATTGTCTCTGATAAGTAGTGAAGAAAAAAAAAAAAAAAGAATAAATTCTCACATTTGACAAGGTGTAACCAGAGTACATTTTATGTTTGACTTCATAAATGATAAATTCATTTGCTGAATCTTATGATGGCCTAAAAACATGGAATGGCTTAAAATTCACCTTCTTCCTGTAGAGCTTAGTAAAGCGGTCTCTCAGCTCCATGAATGTGGGCTTCACACAGGTGTTGTTGGCCAGCGCCAACAGGGAGTGGGAGTGACCCACAGGAGGCACAGAACACAGGCCCGTCTTCCAGCCCTCCTGGTTCCACGAGACAAAGGGCAGCGAAGGCTTCAGTCTAGAGCAGGGAGAAAATGACACAAATTCATGGGGCACACGGGAAGACATTGTACATTTCACTGGTGTAAAAACATACAAGAATCTAAGTTACACTTGTAACAGCACCGTTTGGACGATCATTCTATCTTGTGACTAGAAGAGATTTGTCAGTAAATAGTGAAGTGAGTGATGTCCAGGATGAGGTCTTCAAATGTTTTGTTTAGTCCACCCAGCTTTTCAAAACTCAAAAGATATTCTGTTTACGAGAATATAAAAAAGAGAAAAGCAGCAAGTCTTCACATTTGAGCAGCTGGAACTGGCCATGTTCGATATTTTTGTTTAATAAATGACAAACAATTTAAACTTTGTCAGCGATTAACTTTTCTTTAGTATTACAAAACTTTACAGGAGAAAGAATCCTGTTTGTCATTTGTTGTATGAAAAAAAGGACTGACATAGCCAACATAAAAATATGCTGCAATACAGCCAGTGATTAAGTGAGCCCTTAAGAGCCTTTTGGTAGGCAATATTTCTGTGCTTTTCCTCCCCCTCCCTCCCTTTCCTCCTCTTTTACACCATGGTCACGCACAAATATGTGCTCTCACAGCAGCTTCTGTTTCAGTTCTCTTGACAACGTGCCACATAAAAACAAGGTCTACAGGGAGCGCTGAGGAGAGGTGGGTGCTGAATGGACCAGTCATGAATCATTGCTGTCGGTGCTGAATGGGGGTACTATTTGGGAGAGGGAGTGTGAAGGTCATGTATGGGCCTATCAGGGTGGGTGGAATGAGGTGTCGGCTGTTTTGGTGCGGGAGGAGCTGTAGAGGGAGGACGGCGCTCTGACCTCTCGATGTTCCTGCGTAGGTCGGACACCTGTGCGTTGCCCCTGACCATGAGGGCGCAGGCCAGGTAGAGGCTGTGCTTGGGGTCGGCTCGGATTAGCTGGTGGTCTTTACTGAAGGCATCGCTGAACATCTGATCCAGTCTAGAGAGCACAGTTAGCGGAGACAAACGCTTAAAAATACTTTTTTTTTTTTTTTAAATACTCAGTGGAGAAAATTCTTTCCAGATATTACATCTGCATCCTGACAATTGAAATGGGCTTGCAGTGATTTCAGGTATAGGTGAGTTCGACTGGGGGCCGAGGAAGCAACATTAAAGAAAAACATTTTGTACCATTATTTATCCAGGCAAGTTCTGCTGAGCAGGCGAGATATTTTAAAGCAACACCCTGCTTTACATTCATACAGTCCCATACATTCAGTTGCCCAGTACAGCCACCACTCTTTCTGCCCAATGAGCAGCCCCTCTGGAGCAAGTGAGGCCTATATGGTTCACACAAGGCCACTTTCATGGTTGTTGGGGAGACGGAGGGAGGGTGGTGGATCAAATGGTGCTTTTCCTGTCACAAGCCTGCAACACTAAACTTGAAGTTGCCACCATCCCACTTGATAAAATGAAAGCCAGCTTTGTGGGGCGTCCTGTTTAAATGATGGTACTGATCAGACAAAAAAAGGTTTTCAATTAAAAGGATAGTTTGGGCTTTTTGAGGTACTTATGCATAGACGGTGCATTCATGTGTACATGCAGTAGACGTCCCAGAACAGAAGCTCTGCGATGCACTGCTGTGGACGGGGCAGCAGAAAAACTTATTTTAGCCTCAAAAGAATCAATATCAGTTTAAAGTGTCCACTATAATTAGAATATTTCACTGCTTTACTTTGATGTCAGACAGCCCTTTCCTTTGGCACTACATTTTCTTAACCATAGAACTTCCATATTCCTACACCTGCTGTTCCATGCACTATATTATGCCAAACATCAGCTGTTTGCACAGGTGGTTTAGAGAAGAGAAAAGAAATGGAAGTAAATAAAAATAGTGATTATGACAGCAACGATAAAATGCTGCTCACTGTGGTACCAAGGATATCTTTATGGACCAGAGTATACAGAAAAAGAACTTGTGCAGATGGATACTGAACAAAAGAAAAGTAAAGGAGAGAGCGGGGTAACTATAGTCTCACATAGCCTGACTTATTAAGGTAAAACGGTGAAAATAGTCTAAATACTGATTCTTTTTAGGTGGCCCTTTTTTATTTGGCTAAAATACATTTCATTGCTGCCCCTGTCCACAACAGTACATTGCTTAATGTCTGTTTTAGTACTCCTGTCTGAATCTCCAAACTGAGGGTGCACTGACCGCCTCTACTGCCGGTTATACACTGACTTTGGATAAGTACCTCATACAACACAAACTATCCCTTTAACAACAAGAAAGAAAAATGTAAACGAGCTGCTGTTTTGGAAGCTCTTCACAGATTATTTTCATCATCTCTGAGGGTAATATTGGGAAGGCTAATGTTGTTTTTAAATTCGCATTTGATTTGCGGGTTTCAAAACAACTGGAAGTAAAAACAGCTGCAGTGACAGCTCGCCAACAGACCTTCTGGTGGGGACACTGACATCTGCCAGCGTGTAGAGAGGGGTGAGGCTGGGCACCAGGTAGTGTAAACGGGGGAAGGGGACCAGGTTCATGGCAATCTCATTCAGGTCCATGTTGAGAGAGCCCTCAAAACGGGCTGAGCTGCAACAAAGGAAACTCAAGGTGATGCATAAGCAACATTTAGAGGCATGGTGATGCTGATTTAGCAGTAAAGGGCATCTATATCAGACACTCACTGGATAACAATGTAATAACTACTGAAACAAGTGCATGTTCAAACTCCAGGCAGTTCTCTCAAAAATCAAGGTGGGTGCCAAACAAAGGAACAAAGTAAAATAGATAAACAGGGAAACATACAAATACAATCATATGCTATGACTCTCAGTCACCAGATGTTAGCCCAGGATTCTCTCAATCTTAACTCTTTTGCTTAAAAACAGGAGATGGTACTCAAAAATTCAAGTATGGCGTCCATTTGAGAGTCAGCTTTTACCTATAAACTAGGCCTGTCACAATAACTACTTTTGTTGGATTATATATTTTACAAGGAATTATTATTATTATTCTAAGACATTATGCCACTGATATAATGATAAGCATAATAATGCTGATGTAATAAAGTACACCATTTATAAAGAACAATGAACATCTAATTCTTAAGCATATTCAGACATTGGAATGTGAAAAAAATAAACATACTAAATAAATAAACAAATAATACCACACAACCACAACAATAAATAGGTATTGGACTAAAAGATTGCACATAAATAGATATTAAACATCTGGCATAGGGGTAGGCTATAGAGCTATAGAAATGGAGGGGTAGGGTAGATATAGAAATGGGAGCTTCACCTCACAACACAAAGAGTTTATTACCCCTTGTAGAGTACAAAGCTGCCCTGAACCTTCAAGGAAAGAGTCAGGGGATTGTGAGCACTCACTGCTATATTTAAAAGGTATGTACATTTAGGATCTTTGGAAAATGACTATAATTTCAGTTAGATGTTTCTTAGTGTTATTCACTTGAAAATAAGAATCTGCTTCCTTCTGCAGAGGCCCGCATGAGTTTTGCGGCCTATGTAGTTTGTCCTACACTCATGGAAGGCTGATCTGTATTCAGATGGCTGCAATCTGCAACTTCACTGCTAGATGCCACTAAATCCTACACACTGGCCCTTAACTATAAATACTATTTTTAGTGACCCCACAACTAGAAATAAATGTTCAATTTAGTAAGTTTCTTTGTATTAAAAAAAGTCTTTGAAATAAAAAGATTTAGTGTTACACATACATACATAAACATACAACAGCACCAGTAGCATGGGCCTAGTGGTAAAATAAACATGGTGAGAAAAGGGTCTACTGTACATGAGCAAGCAGTGATACTATACCTGGTAATATTGAGCAACAGGTTAGCCACAATGTTATTCATGGCATCAAAGGGCTTCTCCGCCCCACTGAGCGCGCCCTGCCCAGAGATGATGGTGCTGTCTCTCTTGATCACCGACCCTGGCTTTCCACTGTGAGACATACGTTTGATCTTGTCCACAATGTCCACCAACGACTGGAGGAGCAGAAGCGAAGGAGAACAGAATCTCGTTAAAATTGATGATTTCAATTATGTGCATAATGCAGAGATGCTGGCAGAAGGAGACAAACGCACAAACAAACCTGGTTTTCAATCGGGAGGACACAGTCAGCGTGCTCTGTGAGCTCGCTCATGGCCAGGACGCTGTTGTAGGGAGAGGTGATGACATCGTCCTCCGCAGATGGATAGATGGAGGTGACAATTCGACACACCTCAGGGAACTCCTCCTCCAGCAGGCTCAGCACTCTGGTGCCCAGGCCAGAGCCCGTACCTCAAAGTCAAGATCAGTGCATTTACTTACCGCTGTAATCTGTTCTCTTCAATATCTATCTATCTATCTATCTATCATTCTATCTATCGTTTTCTATCTATCTACTATCTTCTTCTACTCATTCCCCTTCCCATGTTTTATCTATCTTCTATCTATCTTCTATTCTTATTATATCTTTTTGTGTAGTTGTGTAACTCATGCTCCTCTGGAAATTTTTGGGGCACTATGGTAACCAGGGCTTTGTAAAATTGAGACACACTCATTCTCAATTGTCAGTCTAAATGCTCTGAAATACTCCTACATAGTTAATAAACTCAGGAAGCAGCATCTCGTATCATTAATACTAAAGATCACTGAACACTAAATAAAGACTTGTAGGAGTTGCTGCAGCTGAGATTTCATGTAGAATGAGCATGCACACACTCCCATCTGTACAATGGTGATCATTTATACAGTCAAACTTTGAGTCAAGGACTTTCTTCAAGCATTAAAGCCTCCATGCATGGATGAAGTCTGTGTTTGTGCCTCACCTCCTCCCATAGAGTGTATGAGAAAGAAGCACTGCAGACAGTCACAGTGTTCCGCTGCCTTCCTCAGCTTATCCACTATCTGTTCCCTGTAGGCTGAGCCATACGTCATGTGTCCGACCGCCCTGGAGAAGAAGCAGCATACCGGTATTAACGGGAGGCTAATGTGTAAAATAATGTCCTGGTTTTTCTTGCAGGTCTGTTTTGTGATAAGAAGAATTATGTATAAATGAACTTTGGTTCCAGAATGATGGATTAATTTAAAATTTTTAACATGAAGAATGAATGAAAACAAATTGGCGGTTGAGAACCACAGAACAAGGGTCCTCTGGTTGTCAGCCCTCGGAATGTAAATGTTTCTGTGCAGTGTAAGGGTGCAGCCTGTAAGTAACAAGCTCTGTGAATGAGTTTGTCTGTCAGAGAAAGAGAGAACAACAATGTGCATTTTTCACACTTTGAGTTGGTGTGGTATGTGCAGGATATTCCATAAGCACTGGTTTTCCCAAGGAAAACATACATCATTCAAAGATCCTACGGAACATACTGAATGCTTAACTGTAAAATAAAAAATAAAAATGAACAGAATTACTTTGAAAATTGAATATCAATTTGTTAGGGCTCACACTTACTTGTTGCAACTCAAATAAAGTAAGGTATTACTGTGTGTTCCCATAATTCTTCTCGGTATTAGTAAGGAATGTTACCAGGGAAATGTTATGGCTTGTAAAAAACTATTTTTTTCTTCCTTTGGTTAAGTGACCACGGTACAAATGGGATAATGCCCTCTGAGGTGTCCATTATCAAGAAATGAATGAACAATGTGGAGGCCAGAATCATCCAACGGCAGCTTTGAACAATGGCTGAAACTTAATGGATTACTTTTAAAAGAAGTAATGAATTACTTTACTTAATTACTCCCTGCAAAAAGTAATTTGTTGCATTATTTTGCATTACTCCACCTCACCTCAGATGATTAATACGTAATAATAACGAACCAAACACACTTGAGTCACTTGAGACTCTTGCTCACCAAACTATGGCTTTATAGTAGACTAGTGCAGCTTATTTGATGTTTTTCTCATTAAAGCAGTGGTTATACTTAATGAGGAGTCTCTCAGATCATTCATCAGACAACCTGTTACTCCTTCAAGTCAGCACAAGTCTGGCCAGGCACTAGATGGTGTCGCTGTGTTGAATTCAGTGGATAACTCTGACGCTCACAACAGTTTCAATGAGTATTCAATGAGTTCAGTGTTGTCAAGAAGTAATCCAAGCGATTGTTTCGCGAACGTTTCTTTCTCCATCCACCCATTATGCCGATAAATTAACTTCTGTAATGCACGTAACAAGATAATTGTTTGATTACTAACTGAAAGTTGAATTTAGGAACAGGAGTGAGTTACAAGTTACAGACAAATGTAATGTGATTACAATAATACTATACTTAGTATACTTTGTAATGCTTTACACCCAACACTGGTTTACAGCACAGAACATTAAGTGTCTACATGTTATGCGACAGAAGATACAACTGTTAATTACAGTATATAACAGTTCATTTCCTGCACATGAGCTTCAGAATAAGAGGCTGAACGAGGCCTTTGTTGAGGACCAAATCTATCCTTTCCTTTAACATGCTAAAAGATCCACTCTGTGTCTGACAACAACTCTGCTTAAAAAGTCTGCCATTGCAAAGATGCATTGTTTCTTTTAATAATATTTGATCATAACTGCACGTGTGATTGTGAACAAAAGTGTGTTTTCTTTAAGTTTTGGTTTTCAGCAGTTGTTTCCGGGCATGTGAGCTTGCGAGCCAACGTCCCGTAGCTAGGGTGTCTCTCACCAGTTGTTGCCTGAACCTGACACGTCTGTGAGGAGCTGAGTGCTGTCGAACACTTCTCTCAGCGGGCCCTGCAGGATCTCATTGACCACACCCTCCTCCATGTCCACCAGCACCGCCTGTGGATTCAAATATGCGAGTATGAGGCCAGCACATATATTTCATTTCCATTATACGCTGAGCACATGACCTCCTGCTGTCATTCCCATTCCATAACGCCTCTTCGTAACCTTAACCAATAGATGCCAGACCTTTCATTACACAGAATCCAACCCTGACCTTTACTCTAAAAAAAACCTGTGAAGACTTCAAGATAAAAATGTTTTCTCTCACGCTGTTTTCCAGTAATGTGCAGAACTCACCCTGGCCTTCAGATGTTGGATTCTCCCACCGACGCCACAGGCTCCCCCATCACTTTTCCTGAAACAGCATAGCAAATATAAGAAGGGCCACATTTGGACTGTATGGAGGGACATGTCTCAACACATGTAGCAGTTACTGGATCAAAGTATGTGTGATTACCTCGAGTCCACATTTCGGAAAAAGCTGCTGAGGGCTTCATCATACAACCCTTTCTGAATAGGAGAAAAACACAGGAGATTAGGCCTTGGAAGGCCTAAAAAGGTCACAAGAACGGGCTTCCCTTAAAGAATTATTCAGGTTTATGTAAACAGGTTTTATTTTGGAAGTTATAGACATTATCTGTCAGACTTTGTGTAGCAATGGAGTTGTGTTCCCAGTTCTCAGCCACTATTTTACTGATAGGAACCAAGGCCAAAAAACTACAAAAATAAGACCCAGGTTGTAATAAACTGGAATTACTCTTTAAATCATGCATTATGAGGGTTAAACTGAGTGGGTCAATAATGATTTGATTTAACTCAATTTATGCGTACTATTCGTGTGATTCAACTGAAGAGCTTTTTTTTTTGTAAGTGACTATTTAAAGCATTAAATTTCATTAAATATTTTGTGGCAATAATGTGGAGAGTAAGACCTATGTTCTGGGGCTGCAACTAACAATTACTTTCATTACTGACACAAATCTGTACATTATTGTTTTAATTAACTGTTTGGTCTGTACAATTTCAGAAAATCACAATGTCATCAATTATTTTTTCAAATAAAAGAGCCTTTATTGGCATGGGAAACAGAGTGCCAAAGCAAGTATGAATTATTAGTAAAAAAATAACAATAACAAAAATAAAGTTGCAGTTAAACTATGCAAATACAAATACTGCAAAACTAATAGCCGGGGCTTTTATTTGCTTCAGTCACTGAACTCAACCTGCCTTTATCTGGAAGAGGCCTCTATATGGGACAGGTTTGTGCTCAGCAAAGATGGGAAATACTATCAGATTGTCTGTTTAAACCAGTATGAATATTACTTGTACATACATTTGGCTATCAATCATTTAAACATTTATTACTTGGATGCTCATGGTTCCTGTAAAATAGTTGCCATTAATTTAATAGTTGGTAACTAAACAATTAATCACTGCAGCTCCAATCAGGATATGATTTGTAATATGATGAAAAATTGAAAGACCAGTGTGTAGGATTTAGTGGCATCTAGCAGGGAAGTTGCAGATTGCATCTAACTGAACACCACTCACGCCTTTATTTGACGACCTGGGAATGAGAATGGGCTGTGAAGTGTGTAGGAGAAACTATGGCGGTTGCGAAACTCACAAAAAACACATAAGGCCCAGAGCTGGCTTTGTCCATGTTACACACTGTATGTTTAATATATTAAGATATATTATATATAAACAGGGTGATTGACAATAGAGGAATGTATACAGTATATTAAATATATAGTAGTCACAGTTGTAATGCTGGCAGTGAAGGAGTGAGGGACTATAACAGGTGAGAAAGAGGGGCCTTGAGGATCACAAGCACATTAAACTAAAGCTGTATAGTCTGTTTTCATCACGGTATTAAGTTACAAGCACAGAAGCACAGGTGTAAGCAATGAATGAATGAATGATTGCTTCATTCTGGAGTCCCAGTAAAAAAAATGGAGAGCCTCCATCATCACTGTAATTAAAACATCTGTGCTCACAATGTCTGCTGCGGTCCGTGGAACTGAATTTAGTTCATTGTGTGTGTGTGTGTGTGTGTGTGTGTGTGTATTAGCGCTTACTTTATTGACATGGGCGTGTTCTCGCAAAGCAAGATCCCAGAACCTGCAGCCAACCTGGTTGCCACACTGTCCGACTGCAGAACATTAATTAAAAGTTTAGTTCACACAGGGAAATGTTCCTACGTGTCAACCCTTCGTTAAACTAGCTGTAAACCAACCTAACAAGCTGGGAAGCTAACTAACGTTATGGTATATCAAAAGACAGCTAACTGTAGCTGTTAGCTCGTTTCTGAATGTTACTTCTCCTTCAGTTCAATGAGCTGCACGCGGGTTGTACTCACCTTGGACAACAACTGACTGTGTCATGGCGGCAGCAACACACAGACCCGATTAATACGCGAACCTAAGTCATATTTAATGTTCACATTTGTCCACAACCGTCCATTTAATCGAGGTTCTTGAAAATAGTTTTGAACGCGTCTCCAGACTCGCGCCTCCGCTGTGTTTGGGCGACTGCTGATGACGTTTTACCATGGCAACGGCGTGTTCTTCGCCGTTTTGCGTACCTGCTTATTTAATCTCGCCAAATAATACAGTTAAACGTGTTCTGTATGTCGTACACGATTCATTCATTACCTGAGAGAAACATTATGCTAGGACCAATAACTCAACATAAAAATCACATTACTTCCATGTTGCTCAACTTCACATAGTTGTTTTTCCTCAACCTGTATTTGGTTGGAAAAATCCACCGTATATGCAGCAGAGGGCAGTGTTCCCATATTTAGTCGTCTATCAGTGGTTCCCAACATTATTCCTTAATGGACCCCTTTTCTATCATTTATTAAACTGACGACCCCCGACTTCAGATTACATATTTTATGGATATTTCATATTATATTAAAAACTGTACAATGAACCCAAACAGTGAACGCAGAAACTGCAAGACGTTTTTGGCAGTTTTTTTCTTTTCTTCACTGAAGTGAACTAGTTATTGGCCAACTGTGTATATTTTAAAATTTTCGTACACCTCTTAAAATTTAAGAAGGCCTCACGACCCCCATGAAGCTTTGGTGGTTGGGAACCACTGCAGTATATAACAGAAAGACGAAAATAAAGAACAAGTAATAGTATAGCAGTATAGATTTTACAACAGGAATACAATTAACCAGGAAGCAGCTGATGTAACAAAAATCTAACCAGCATTGAAAATACACTGTAAAACCACAGATAACTTTCTTTGTCAGCACAATTCACAAATGAAAATTTTAGTTTTAGTTTTGTATTTAGTACAAAACCCAGTATGCTTTCTCTTCCTCATTTTCTAAAACATTTCTTTCTCATGTCTAATACTGTCAGTATCTGCCGATACCGGTCCCAATCCAATACTATCTAAACTGTTAATAATTTGTATGGATACACATTGCTAAACCCAGCCATGTAAAAATACCGTGCTCAAACTGTAAAACTAATATTCTACTCTCATGAAGAAGGAAATACATAACCTAAAGTAAAGTGTATGTAATTGTTTGAGCTAATGGATCGTATCAGATGATATATATATCGATAGATACTGAGAATCAGTACAACCCTAAGATAAACGAGAAAAAAAACAAGCTTATGTGGATGTAAAATATTTTTATTCATCAGAAATAACAGTACAAAAAGGAAAGTTTTGAACATGAGCTTGTAGAAAAAATGTGCCAGTGAGATTATAAAAAACTGAAGTAAAGACTTTCTATTATGGAGAAATGATTAAAGTCTAATTTATGGATACACTGTAGGATCCTCAGAATGGCTCTGAACCTGAAATCTGTTCACATTCTCTTATAAGTGATGGGTTTTTTTCCTGCTCATTTTTAAATTTAGGGTCATTTGGTCGTATTCTTGGCATGAGATATTTTCATGTAAAACAATGAACGAGACAAATTACAGTAAAAGACAGGTCAGACATCTGACAAAGAGAGAAAAGAACAGTGACAATGCCTCTCTTAATGGCTATGTTTTACAGAAAGAGAGTTTTAATGTGTTTGGTCAGTGCTGTATTGGGGGACAGTGATGGCATGGACACAAGTGTTATGCCCCTGGACAGGTTCCAACGCTGACTGCTCCACTGACCAGAACAGCTTTGCTGAAGCTCACTTGGCTGTTATTGATGGTCAGGCTCCTCATACAGCCGACATAGGCCTTCCTGGTGGCGATTCTTTCTGGGAGGAAGTCATCTGGGAGGAGGAGGAAAAGGAAGAGTGCGTCACATGATTAGAAAGGTGTGGTGTTAGTATAACAGGAGAACAGAAATGTGTGTTCCTGGCTCACCTGGAGCTCCACCGATAAACACCGGCTTCTTGGTATCCGTGGAGTTGGGGTTCAGAGGTCCCACCACGTGGTTGACCTCAGAGTCCACATCCAGCTGGACAACATTGGAATCCCGGATCACTGAGGTCAAGCAGGACAGAATGCATCAGTTTAGCCCACTGACGGTGTATATAGTGGACATAGCTTCCGGGTCTGTTTAGTGTCTTAAACCTGCATTCTATGTAATGGCCAGCAGTAGGAGCTCCATTGGCTGCAACAAAACACTGATACCATGCAGACTTATGGAGAATCACAAGATTTTTGAGCTTTCTAATGAGTTTTTTTTCTAGTTTCAGTCTTCTTCCATAGACTGAAACGTCATCATAATACTTCCCTTTGTTGTTTTTTGGTATGAAATGTATCCTCCATAATGAGTGTACTTGTTAAAAAAGGAAAACCAACAGTAGTTGTTACACTATGATCAATGTATAATATATATATAATAAGTATTTTTCCAAAAACACATCTAAAAGCGAGACTGAAAATGTAACAACATTTTAAGCACTATAATACTGACACCCTGGTCTGCTCTATAAAGGTGCTATATACATATATTTTTGGTTTACTACTTATGTGATATATGTGGTATAATGATTGCAGGTCCATTCAGTAGTGTGACCTGTTCAGACTGGCATCAGATATTGGCCACATTTAAAGGTGGAGTGTGACGTGTCTAACAAATTCATCAGATCTGAGCAATAAGTCACAGCCACCGCTGACTCTTCACAACTTTTCCATCTTCTTCTCTTTCTTTATTTCTTTAAATGGCTTTGGAGTGTTAATGTGCATGCTCTCACCAGTGATTCTGTGCCAGTTGCCAGCACACAGACCCTGTTTCGGTGACACCTTTGTGGAGAACTCACGAGACCCATCGTTCACGAGGACCACCACCTGGGAACAAACACCAATACTGTATCCACACTATTGAACACAACCTCACCTGAATGTCAGTGACACTGGAAGTCAGTCAGAGTCGAGGGTGCTGAGAGAAAGTATGTCTATATAATGATGTCAAACTAAATGCTAAATGCATGACATTCATGTTTTTTTTTTATTAATTTGCATTTCCAGGAAAATTCATAGCCAATTTAATAGTTATTAACAACATTTTACACAACTTTTATAACATTTTAGTTAATAAAACTGATTAAAAAAATTATGGCAAAACCTCTCTCCCGCTAAATACCAGTGTGCAGATGTAAATCCCAGTAAAGAAGGAGAAAGTCATTATAAGTTGAAACATTTTTATGAACTATTTTGAACAGGTTTTCATTCTACCAGATTTTAGGGGGTGTTTCCGCCCCCTCAGCACCCCGACCTCCGGCACCCATGCTGAATGTGTGCAGTTTTCTGCATGGGTGTGCCAGTGACTTACCTCCCCTCGGTGGATGTACATAGTGAAATAGCCCTCTGCTGAGCGCACATGCAGTAGCACCCCAGATGCCACACGGGGGCGCACCTCCATCACCAGCTCAAACCTCAGCCCGAGGTCAAACGTTTCATCTGAGGGAGAGAGGCAGAGAGCACAAGATGAAGTGATCTCTGGGTACCCGCTCTGGACCTCACACTTTTTGCCGCAATTATCAGCCATGTTTCTCTGTGGTGCGAGCACATGTAAAATTACTGGACTCGATCAACAGCTGCAGCTCAGTTCACAAGCTCCTTGGGGCCTTCACCCCCCACCTCAGCAGAGACACAATTTCACCACAGCTGCACTGAGGGTATCACGTTCCCTCACCCAACCAAACTGTCTCCATGCACACGGGATGGTGAAAGACCAGAGGGGCTTGTGAGTTTTCCAAAAGGAAATCTAATGAGCCATGTCATATAACAGATGTTCAATTTGCAAAGAGTTGCAGATCCTGCCAAATGTAAATGGTGATACATCTGAGAAAGACTGCACAAAATCAACACTAGATTCATACAATTGGATAATTTCTTAGTTCCAGTTTGAAGCTGTAGGGAAAGCAAGCCTGTGCCTGTTCCATTAAAAAAAAGAAATGTACCCAGCACGACATATCCTCCTTCTTCTGAGAAGTATGTTCCTGCCTCTGAGAGTCCCTCGAAGCATGGAGTGACCCCAAAAGTGTCTGCCAGGGAGGACAGCCACTGCCCGTTGAGCTGAAGGTTCTTCAAACAGCCGGTGAAGCTGTATGCAGAGTTTCTCTACAGGGACACATACAGAGATATTCTTAAAAATCCAAGGTTAGATATTCAAAGCCCCCCTCCTCAAAATCAGTGTTTCTTTCTGTTCCTTCAGAGTGATGTTTGAATGATGAATGTGCAGAGTTTATTCTTATTCTTTAGTCTTATTATTAATTATATTCATTATATTGATTTTTGTTTTTGCCTAAAGCACACTGAATTGCCTGTGTGCAAAATGTGCTATATGAATAAACTTGCTATTGCTATTATGATGCATTTTAGTATTTACCAGTAATTGTCACACAGGCAGTCTTTAACCCTCTAAAAGCAGACCTCCCGCGGGTGCCCGTCTTTGCTTTCTTCGGTCAAAATCAATTTAAAATAAAACCTATATATAACCTTTTAGCTTAGGTTGTACAGATTTTAGGGATATGGATTATTTCAAGATACTCCAAGAAATTACATCACAATTAGCAATAATACCAATGCAGGCACTGGCTGACCATTGCTGTTACAGGGGCCACAACTTTACTGTTTTTAGTTCACTCTCATTGCTCTCTCACGAAACTCACGAAGCTGGGGAATCAAAGAATACTGCTTTAAAAAGAATCAGAGGATGACTTCCTGTTCTAAGGGGGAGAGGGTCACAATGGTGGTTTCCTGCTGTCTGTGGGAACGGCAGCCTGAGCTGAGCTGAGCAGGATGTCTGCTGGTATGATCATATAGTAACAGAGCCTCAGAGTCAAAGTGTTGTGCTGTGTTCAAATGAAAGTTCTTCGCCATTTTATTGAAATGTTTAATAAATATTCTTCAACTTAAAATGTAGTAATATTGTTTTTATAGTAATCTGATAACACACAATGATCAAATATTGTGTTTAGTACATGGTAACATCAACAGATTCAAGTTTGATCAAAATCTTTTTTGGCTCTCCTGTAAAATATGAAACAGTGCTCGCGATTTTTTGGAAAAGTGTCCCAAGGGTTATAAGTTACAGCGAATTTTAAGAGGTTACTGTCTTATTCAGAGCGACAACAGCTTGATAGAATATTCATGTGTTTCAATAGACCCATGTTTTCTATGTTTTTAATGTTAAATGTTTTTCACATAAAGTTCAACCCATACCTGAACATTCCTCTGGGCTGCCCCTGGAGGAACTCCTCCCACATAGATGGGACTGCTGACATGCCAGGAGATGTTGCTTCCCTGAGCTCTCTCTTCCAGCACTGTGAGCCCATCAATTATTAACCGCCCCATACTCCCAGCACGGATAAAAATAACCTTCAGCAGGAGAAGAGAGGAGGTCGTCACTGTAGAAACTGTTAACACATAGCCAAACATGCATACACATTGAGAGAACTTACATTGTGCCATGCACCGTCATTGTATTTCTCCTCGCTCTTGATTTTGACTCTTTGGTCCGCCACATTGAAGGTGTATACGAGCTTCCCGTGGGCCAGGAAGAGAGCCATGAAGTTGTCCTCTTGAATGTCAGATACATAAAAGATGAGGCCAAAGGATGAGTGGGTCTTCAGGGACAAGGAGAAGTGGGACCTGGGAGGTGGTAGGTGCATTTAGTCATGCGTGCAGACAAAGAAACCCTACATGTGCAGAATGAGCTTTCAAACAGACCTGACCTTGGGGTTACTTGTAAAGAGTTTTTCGACTGACGTACCGCTCAGAGAAGGAGTCTGGGAGGTCTGTGTAGTGCTGCCTGCTGTTGGCGATGCCACCGTAGTGGAAGGCTCGGCGGGGTGCTCTGGGACTTGAGGAGAGGTAGCAGCGTTCGATGTTCACCTCTGATGGCTCCTGGTCATCACCTTTGAGTTCCATCAGGCCCAGAGGGAGGCTAGACTCCCTGCTTACCTATGAGAGTGTTTACTGGATGTCAGGATGGGCCAGATTGTTGCAACCAAAAGAAAAAGGATAGATACTGAAGGCACTCTTTTAATTTTACCTTCTGCGATTGGTTCTGTTTGGCTCTAGAAGTGTGTTCCCTGTGCCTTGACAGCAAAGCAGCAGGGGGGCGCTGGACTGGACAGTCCTGCAGGGAGGTCTGGACCTTCACTGTGTACCGCTGGAAGTCCTCAGGCTCAATGTCCTGGTCCTGTCTACAGAAATATAGGCAGAAGGAGTGACAGTGAGAGAGCAGCACTCAACACAGTACCATGTCTCCATGGCAACCACCTCCATGTCCTCAGTTACTCAGCTCAAAGCTTTATTTGTGACACTTCCTCGCATAGAGGGAGAAAGCCTCCACACTAAGCAGCAACCAGAGCCAAATCCTCAGTTAGAGAGCTCTCAGGGTGGTCTTGGTTGCAGTCTGGAAAGATGTGAGGGTGTTTGTGGTTGTCTACCTGTTGACGTAGGCGTAGCTGATGCAGCCTGTGAAGTTCTTGAAGCTGCTGTTCGGAGACCCTCCGTAGTAGAAGGTCTTTATGGCAGGATCCAATGAGGATCTCGTGGCTGATGCTGGACGTTTTTTGTCCTGCTTGTCCTTGTCGTCCACCAGCAGTGAATACCTAAGGCGAATAGTCAGTCATTCAGTTCTGACACTTACTGTACGCACCATCCCACATAGCCTATTATCTGTTTACAAACCCACCTAATGTAGATGTAGGTACTAATGTAGATTTTGGAGATCTGCAGATGATAGTTATTGGATTCCACAGATACAGATTTCTATTTTCATAGTGGAAAACTGGCTGTAACATCCAATTAAGCCACAGTGCTAACACTGCCATGCTGGGTGTGCTGATCCTTTGGGTGTGCTATTAAAGTCCCCCTCCAGTCAAAAATCTAATTGAATTGTTGGAAAGACTGTGGAAACAGTTCTGGTAGGTAGTTTGAATTTATTTCTGTCCCTGTGTTTGGGATTGGGATATTGGTATAAATAAATATGTATATATATATAATGGGTTAAGCCATCAAATAATCTTGAAATTTAATTGACAGGGATGGAAAAGGTGCTTTATGTAAAATGAGCTCTGCAATCTCCATGTGTCCAAAACTTCACAGAGGAAACAGGATGCAGAGCTACACTTAAATAACAACAGGTGCACAAAACCCAGCTGTTAGCTGGACTCGAATACTTACTTCTGATTGTTCACCGAGGCCACTAAGAAGTGTGTCCTTCCGTCATTGTATTGCTTTTTGTGTGATTTAACTCGTGTGCCTCTGCAGTTCAGCAACACTGCTCCGTTCTCCAGGGAGATGCTGAACTCATCAGACTGAAGTGAGAGAAAATAAGTTTATTATTGCTTAGTGGCAAAGGCGGAGGAGCGGTCTGAAGGAGAGGATCCAAGGTCAGTTCTTGATTTGTGTTGATTTATGACAAAATGAGACTTGTCATTATGCTTCTTATAGTAATTAAAACTCCCAACCATTTGAAATGTATCATAATAACCCCTTTTCCATGTGTATAAAGACAAAGAATAGTATATACCCCTTCACTGTGGTAGAACAGGAGTCCACTGGGCTGCAGCGTTCTAAAGTTGAGGCCTCCTTCAAAGTTGTCGAAAGGTGAAATCTTTGCCGTGGATCCCAGGTAGCTCTCTCCGGTGAAATAGGCTTTACGGGACATCTGTCACAACAAAAACACACCTCACTCTCATCACCTATTACCTCTCAATGCTCCACTCAGCTTACAGCTCAGTGACCCCTCAAAGGAAATATCGATTGACTCATGTGAAAGCTGTTGAACTAGAACAGCCACTTATTCTGTCTCAGTTGAGAGTGAAAGTTTGTGTGCTGACGTGTGTGTGACTGTGTGTGCGATCCACTCTTTGTCCATATTTGGTATTGATTCCAGAGAGCAGTGCATTACCACTGACAGTGTGTGAAGTGGTGAAGCACTTACAAATGACTCCTCAGGGCAGCCACTGCTTATGCCAATGGTGCCAGGCTCCTCCAGCAGGTTGAAGTCTTTTTTCTGGAACTGGAAACCTTTCACACAGCCTTTCAGGCCTTCGACAGCAGACAGCTCGGGCCTGTGGTAATACACATGCTGTCACCAATTTTAAGTGGAATAACAAGTTGCACTAGCAAAGGAATCTATGTGTAAAACATCCTTCTTATGCTGCCAAATTGCAAAATTGAGCTTACCCATATCTAGACTCTATTTGCCCTAAATTTATGCTGTCAGGTATAGTTACTAAAAGGAAATCTCTTGACCAGCATGAAGCAATGAGTTGAAAGTTTAATAATTTTTTGGCCACTTGGGGGCAGAAGAACTCCAAGAACAAGCTGATATGGTTGTTATGTTTTAGGAAAGGGTCAAAGGGCCTTTTTACACATCCAACAGACACCAAGCAACATCCATTTGGAGTTGTGTTTCTGGCCACTTGTCGAACATAGCTTCACTTTTAGCTCTGATGGTTTCCACCAACTCCTGAGAAAAATATTTGGCCATTAGCTGCTAGATGTTCAACTTCTAGTTAGCTAGCTAGTTGATAACTTGGCGCTGTTTGTGGGCCATGGGATGTACAGTGTTTTACCGTGATTTTTGAGCTTCTCTTGACGGAAACAGCTAAGTAGGTCTATCAACAGTACCGGACACGCCAACTGCATGACAAGCCGTCAAAACGGTCGGAGTTTGGTTAGGTTTAGGCACCAAAGCTACTTGATTCAGGTTTTTTTTTATTATTATGTTAATAAAGGAAGTTATTTCAAAGTGGGTGTGTTGTGTAGTCTGTGATACAGCAGATAGACCCTTTTCAAAACAGCTGCTGTTGGAAAAAGAATTGATCAGAGCTAAAAACCAAAACAATAAGCTAAAGGAGGCTAAAAAGTTCCAAACAGCAGGGTTTGGTGATAATTGTCTGTAGGTTAGTCACGACAAGTAACCTATCATTTGATTTATTGATAAAATTTAATATATTGATTAGCTAAGCTTCTGTAAAAAAAACTCTGCTAAGCCCTCTCTATAGCGAATAATGGAGCCTTCAGCTGCTAAAGAGCCAGATATCTCCCTCAGGAGATGGTTGAGACCAAAAAAAGTTAAAGGGAAAGTAAATATTGGACTTCCTGAGGTGGGCAGAGACACAACTCTGAATAAAGGCTTATGTTGCTCTGTGTCTGCTTGAAATGGCAACTGTTTGCTAACACATCCGCCAAAACTATTTTAAACAGTGATATACGGTATGTCAGTACTATGTTTACAACTTGTTCTGCCATCCGGGAAAATAATTTTAATAATACAGCTAAGGTAGGGCAATTGTGTCATCCAGAGAAGCTGGACTTTCAAACACAAACTATATAATGTTGAGTGAACGTTTAGTTGCTAGTGTATTTAACTCACCTAGATTTGAGAATGCTTGAGGGAGCCCCTCCTATGTAGATATCTGAGAAAGGCAGAGTGGTTTTTGGATTCTCCATGGATTTGACATGGCTCTTGTCCACCAGTAGGATAACCTTCTTTGACTGATGGTAGATCACGGACACCTGCGCAAAGGGCCCAACACCGACAGTTACAGCAACATGTGCCTCAAGTTCATGTTGTCTAACCAGCTAAATGAGAAGAAAGAACCTACCTCATGGTATCGTGCGTCATTTATTTGCAGCTTGGGCAAATTATTCTCAAAAATTTGCGGGCCACTGCTGAAGCCAAAGTCGTACATTAGGCGCAGGAAGCCATTCTTTAACTCTAAAAGGAAATATTTGTCCTGAAAAGAAGAGGTCAATATACATATATTATAAATAAGGTTTGTCTTTGACATTTCAGCTGAACACTGAACAATGACAACTAAATATGCTTCTATCATCAGTTATTATGTCTAGAAAGAAGAAAATGTGATATAATACGATGAGATGCATGCAAATCTAGATTTTTTTCCTTCAGTGATACCCAGCCTCTCAGGTCTTGGGTCAAATAATAAAGAGGTCTTTAGGTCTTTTGTGGTCTGTAGACTTACCCCATTGACCATGAGGAAAAGGATGCCATTGTTTGCGACAGTTCGCACTGCAATATCAAATCTTGTGACAACACCAAACTTGCCCCTCCTCTCAATGTTATTGATGAGTGCATAGCCTGTTCCATCAAACAGGTAGCTCGCAATACGACTCTGGGAAAACGCCAACTTGTACCTGACGGCAGAAAGAGAAATGTTATTTGACATTTTGAAACAGTCTATGTGATCATTTTCAGATAATACTCAGATAATTCAGATACATCCTTCAACAGAAGAGAAAGTATCTAATGAGAATGCTGGATTACCAAATGGGCCCCCACCCCCACAGGGACACCAAAAGTCCTTGGTTTATTGAACGCCAATGGTTTTGTTAGTTGACTGATAGAAAAATTAGTGATAGGTGGGGGTGAGGGGGTCAGCAGGGGCCCCAACAGTAAATTTTTGCCCTGGGGTCCTATAACAGGTTAATCCAGCCATGCAAATGTGTACCTGGGGCACGGTGTTGATGCAACTACATCCATTTTGTGAGTCTCTTTGAAATTGTATAGACTGATCACGTCGTTGTTCAGCGAACCCAACTCGATGCAACCCACAAAAGGAGCCAGACTCAGAGGAGGTGGAAGCTATAGAATTAAAAAACATGTACTCATTTATAGTGGAAAAAGCAAGAGAACTAAATAAGGATTTATTTGTATTATTATGAATGTTTGTGAAAGGCATTACCTTGACATCTGGTGGGACGCCACCAACAAAGAACACTATATCCTTTGGGTCGATGTCAAACAGTGAGTCAGAGCCTGGAGCCTCGCCTTTCTGGATGAACTTCTGCTCGTCTGCGAAGCTCTGACTGGGGATGGTGAGGAAGACTTTTCCATGTCTGCCCAGCCTGCAAGAAAAGAGCACAAAGCATGAGCAACTAATTACTAAGTAATTTTACCACAATCTAGAAGACAAGTCAGATTCAGCAAACTCTAACTGCACAAACTTGTCAAAATTGCTTGTTTGAACTTGATGAAAAAACACCTGTTCAAGTAGACACACAACAGAAAGATTCTCCAAGTAAATTGGCAAGCCATGGTTAACAGATTATACATTTTACATTAAAGGTGCCCTGTGGAGTTATGATGAAGCTATTGATGGCCTGTTACTGCTGTATGTTGCATAGAGAAACAAAAAGAAAACCAAAAGGATCTGTGTTCACAAAGATGAGGGGAAATATGACAATCCAGTTTTTTTTTTTTACATCATTAAGGACTTCAGTGAATGTTTGAAAGTATGTCTCAGGTAAATTATGCTTTTTATGTGTAAGACTAAAATGATGTTATATATACATTTTATAAGTTGCATACCACAATATCGTTCATCAAATTGCTCTGAAAGTGATGCAAACAATTCATTTGCTATTGTCGTTGTAGTTGTGGTGTGGTTTTGGAACCTTTCATTTTTATTTCAGTTGATTGCAGTAACATATTTAAATTCCAAATTCCACTGTGCCAGTTGAACAAATCTGTTATCTAAAGTTCATTCATGGATATTACCTCTCCACTTTAATGTAGTTGAAGACTGCGGGCCATTGGCTGACAGGCTTTGAACCCAGTGGGATCTCGACATCTTCACCCCCGAGGTTGTACACGTACACCAGGTTGTCATTCTTGATGGCCAGTCCCATGTAGTCTTTCCTACCCTGTGAGCACAAAACAGCAGAAAATCCTCATTGTATGTCGCATCTTGGTAAGTTCATACCCTCTTCATTTTCCAATCATGGCCTTTGTTTTTGTCATTTTACAACAGTTTACCACTGTGGTATCAGTTTCCAACAGGCAAATGATAATATTTTATGTTATTTCACCTTGAAATATAGTGGTTTCAAAAACATGAACATCCTTCATTTGTGACTACCAATAGCACTCACGCTGAGACTATTATTCCACCCTGAAAAGGCGTAGCCAAACACCACTGCATAGATTACAGTGGCAGTGAAATCACCAAGGTGAAGTGTCGTTAAAGAGAACAGAGAGACCTCACATCGGGGAGCTGCACTGTTTCTGTGCCCCAGTGGGCGGAGCTAACGGTATTCATGTAAATGAACTCCAACTTTGAAGGCACACACATGCACTATTGTCACAGGCGTCTCTTGGAGACCTTTTGAAAGGAGCAACTGTGCGCTTTCAAAGCCTGTCATTCCTGCTTCCATGATCACAACAAACTATTCATGTCCACAAGCTGCTCCCTGCCTTTCATCTTTGCCCTGGGCCTCTGGGTGCGAGTTTGTGAAGTTTCAGCAGCAGATCTGGGCCACATACCCACCCTAAAACCTCCTTGCTAACTAGCACCCATTCAACAGCTGAGTTGAGCTAAATGTGCATGCCTAGTTGCTCCCCATAAGTGTTTTTACTTGATGTAATGGCTCCCATCTGTATCCACTTAGCATTCTTCCTGGTAGGCATTAGTTTTATAGTAACTCATTATCCCAAATTCCACCATTTTTGGTTTTCCTGGATTCCTCACATTTCTGTCTCCCAGGTATAAGATAAAACGGTCCTCTATGGGATCCTTATCAGGGTCCACTCTCATGAACAAGCTGATGGACGTCACTGTCTTCAGTTCCTCCAGGTTGCTGTGAGGATGAACCTCCACTGAGGACTGACCATTGAACTTCATGGACACTTGGACCTGGGGTAAAAAAAACAAAAACAGAATGACTTAGAGCTTAATGGTAAGATCAACAAGAGGAGCTGTTCTTTGTGCTATCAATTGAATTGCAAAAATCTAAAATATTTTATATCCCAAGAAGGAAACCTACCTGTTAGCTATTAGCACTATCTGGCCAAAGCCCAGATTTAATAAGGTTTAATGTCTATGAATAGGGTTAAAGTTTATGTGCAGCATAAAAGATTTGGTTATGCAAGGACAAAGGCTTCACCTCTAAAAAGTCATTTCTGTGGTTTCCAGCATTTGCTACATTTCTAAATCGTGGAAATGTCCATGTATAAGCTATCAAGAGATTGTGGCAATGTGGTCTGTGCTAGTTAGTAAATGGGAAACAGAAGAGGGCTTGATTTGACTGTCCTAAATTGATCATATCGTAAGCATGTTCAAAGTGATGAACTAACTTTTTTGGCCACACTCCTGGCCTGGGCTATGAGCTCTCTGATTCTGATGATGTTGGTGGTCACATTGTTGACAGGCTTCTTCTCCTCGACAACCTTCAGCTTGTCTAGCAGCTCAGGAACGAGAAAATTCAGGTTCTCCACTATAAAGTACGTTGAAAGAGAGTAGAACAAGAATTTAAACAGGATAACACATATGAGGAAACTGGGGAAAGTGAGCAGCAAATGCATGAAATTACTCGCAGGCTTAATAAATGGTTATGTGGTACTAAAAATGCAGATTTTCCACCAAGGATCTTTAAAATATCCAATATCTATGTGCTGCCGTGAACATTGCAGCAGTTATGATACCTGCTTCCCCAGCAGACAAGACGGCCTGCTCATAAGCATCTGTAGAGTATTCATTGTTCCTCATGTTGGTGGCCCACTCCTCCACCTTGCTGGTGATGGGGGTGACAGTTTGAAGAACCTCTGCGGAGCGGTTGAGAGTCCCCTCAGCCACCTTCAGGGTGAACTCCAGTCGCTGTGGTGTTCGGTCTGAAAATGGATGCAGAGGATGAGCCAGAGAAAGTTCTGATATGTCAAGGTTTAGAGCATTTTGTTCATCGCAAAGAGTGGCCTGGTCTTTTTAGAAACCCACAAATCTCACTTTTTTTCTACCAAAGAAATAGTTTCAGGGAAATCTGTTCCCAGTGAGCCTGTGAATTACCCTGAGTAACAGGGACATTAGCACATCTTAAAACCTTGGCAAAATAAAACCAAATCTACCGGTTAGATACAAATAAGTAAGTGAGAAAACCCAGCTGGATAGTATCTGTATCTGCACAGCTAGATAGCTCTAGTAAGTGAGAAATTATGATTTGGTGTTGTTGTTGTTGTTCTAAGCAAAGCCTTTAATTCAAACTTTAAAATAACAGCCTGACATTTCAGGAACTAGTCTGTGAATGGAGAAACTGCTAGCAAGACATTGGCATATCTTAAACCTTTAATTCAAAGTGACACTTAATTCAAAGCTTAAAAGAGTAGTCTAACAGGAACTACATTTGTTGACAGGGGAAATTGCTAGCAAGTTCCATCTAGCTAGCAGTTTTTTGACAGCAAAACGTCACATTGTTACTTTAATATAACCAGGTATTGTCTTACCTGTGTGAATTCCACTGATACTCTCCACTATCTTGGCAAGTTTATTGGTGTTATCCTCCATGGTCTCTTTGGTCTCCTCAATGTATTTCAGCTTGTCAACCACCTCACCTTCTACCTCTGTCACAGAGAGATACAGAGACTGTCAAAGGGGCATGCGATATTGACACATGAACAATAAAACAATTTTACTCTTCATTCTGTGAAAGCCACATACCAATTTGTTCTGAATGTAATGAAACAGACTCCTTGAAAACATTGTCGCTCTGCTTTACCAGGTACCCAAGCTGCGCATTAATCCCAGTGATGGCCTAAAACACAGAGCACATAACAAAGCTACAGAATGTTGACGGGAACTACAGTAGATGTATGTTGTGTGTTTCTGTAATACAACATACATCTTCAGCTCTTTGGGATAAGTTGAGGGTGGTGAGCGAGGTAATATTGGCATCATCGATGTATTTCACTATGTTGTTGTAGACGTTGGCTGCACTTATGGCTCTCTGCACAAAGCCATTGGCATCGCTCTCTCTCAGATCCCTGGAGGAAACAGGATGACAGATGTTACAGTCTAGTCTGAGGGTTTCTAAATTGCACATAATAGCATCAAAATTCCCAGTGCTCATGGAAATCATATTAAATTAAAGCTGCATTAATCAATACTTTTATATTAACAGTAGATCAAATGACTAGGTGTAACGTGAAAGGGATCGCTCATAGTCACAAACCTTCAAAGAATTATTATACGACTCTTCTGGTGCCCTCAGCTGTATGTAACATTTTAGCCCTTTTCAGCTCATTGTTTTGGTTTTTGGGCCACAACTTTTTACTGTTTGGTTTCATCAGCCTTGTTTCAAGCTGCAGCAACCAGCCGTTCTCTCTGATGTACACTAACTGTATATCTATATATTCAAATTAAATTTGGCAAGTGGACAGAAAAACAACTCCTAATAATTGCCAATGTTGCTCCATGTGTGCTAGATTAATTGGTTATTGTTTGCTTACACGTAAGCAATAACATCCTAAAATAGTGATGATATGTCAATGTGTTTAATGCAGATTTAACTTTTGTTCGAGTTTTTCACTTTTTTTTTCCCAGAGTGACGTCATTCTTATGTAATCTTTAGATTCACCCATGGATTAAAGCTGCAGTAAATAATGTTTATAAAAATAACTTTTTGTCATCTTTGCTCTGATTACTTGTTTTCGTTCAGGCTTGGTGGATTATGCAAATGCTATTAAGAGCGCTATCATTGTCAGGATATAGTGAACGTTTCCAACAACATGACAAAAAGTTATTTAAATAAAAATAAAAACAGTATCCTGGCTGATGAGAAGCATATAAACAATACGCTTTCTGCTGTTGTACCTTCTTCACAGAGTACATTTTGACAAAAAGCACAGGTGTAAATAATAAAATGAATGATGGCCAAAGCAGCAACTATATACTGGGGTTGAAACGAGTATCCACTAGAGATAATGTAATTTGTATGAGTATGAGTATCAGCAGAGCAATATGTGTCAATATCCGTGCACCATATAGCAACTGTTGAGCAACCCTCGATAAATATTTTTCTTACTCTTACTCATTGCTCCAAAACTAAATTCTGAGGCTGTTCTGTAAATAGTTTTCTCATAAATATAGCAAGTTCTACTTCTTTTCAACACATATCAATTTCAGATTTAGATGAACCACTTCACATTTAAGCACCACCCATGTCTGATTTAAGCCCCGCCCATTCCTTGTACTGATACAAATACAGATAATTCAGTGGTTGGACAGATAAAGATAATGGTGAGCTTGCTCATCCCTACTAAATACCTCAACTTTTATTTAAGAATAATGCAGATGATGTTATATTTTTCTTGTTGTTGACAAAACCCACACAAAGACCAAAACCCTGAATGTATCTGCTAAGAAGTATTGTGTGTGTATCAAAGCCTGATAAAGCTTCTGTGCCTTAAAACTCCATTGTTGTCCAAAAACTATTAAAAACACATCAGTGAGAACACTGTTGCAGCATGAACACACATACTGTTCATGGTAATGAGAACTAGTGGGTTAGGGCCTCAGCGCCACAAACAGAAGTCTTGAGAGATAGACTAATGCAATGTTGGTGTTGCTCTTTCACGATGTCTGATTATTTGTAGGTAATAGGTTTAATAGAGAAAGGTGTCTCACTCCTCCAGTTCGTTGGCGTGTTTCTCCAGCTCCTCAGCGTGATCGTCGGCCCTCTGCACCAGTGCTCTGTCAGCCAGCGAGAGACGCTCAGTCTTCTCCATCAGCATTTGGCTGGCGCCATCGATTGCTGCATGGTACTCTGTCACATTCTGTGCGCACAGACGTACACGTGCAAACACGCAGACACATACACATTAACATTTCATTTACTATTTGCAAGGACATTCCACTGTTTTGCATTTATGTCCCATTTCAGAATCCTTGTACCTTGTGATTACTCAAAGTACACGCACACATTACAACACACACACATCCAAGCTAACATTGTTACCTCAGGATGATTGTATTTCCCCACAGAGTAACACAATAGAGAGCTACTGGACTAAAAAGGGAGCGCTGTTTGAGAACACGGCTTATTCAATCTCTAGCAATCCACAAATTGCTTCCAAATCAAATTGGCCAGCTTTAGAATCTGACACAGGCTGCGTCTCAGGAATCCATTTCATGAATAAATTTGATGCAGGCCCTGAGATACTGCATCCTCATATCACTGTCTATTAGATTATTATACGTACCTCCTCATTCAGTGAGCCATAAAAAAAACCCGAGCATCACTAGGCAGCAGAGATTTTTCCATTTTCACCCCTGACCCCTTCCTATGAGACCACCATGGGTCCTCCTGACAATCATGGGTCCTCACCTGCACTAAAGCATCCACCTCAGCCACAGTCCTCTCTGTTTCAGAGATGGAGCCTCTGGCTATATCCAGTGTTTCATTGACAGCAGTGTGGTCCTCTGCCAGCCTCTGCTGCCTCGCCTTGGGGCACAAGGAAATAAACATGATAAAAGTTAGCCACAATTCAAGCTTCAGAACTTATTCCAATACTACTGTGTCATATGTTGCCTTTATAAGATAGGATACAGTAGAGAAAGATATGAAATGAGAAGGTGAATCTACAGCTGGACTGCAACAGGGGATGTTGCAATCACATGTTTAGCGTCTTAAAATCCCCAGGGCCTTGGCCACCAATACACCCTGAAACACTATCTATATAAGGAACAATTAGTCACTTAAGAAAAAACGCTATCGATACCACGTCTGTGTGTTAAGTGTGGAGCTCATACCAGGAGGCGTTTAGCTTAGCTTAGCATGAGGACTGGAAGCAACTGAAAAACAGTTAGCCTGGCTTTGACCACAGTTCACGCCTATAAAGCTCACTAATGAACATGTTATATCTAATTTGTTTAATTTGAACACAGAGAGACACGTAAAAACAAGAATTTGTTGTAATTGCTGGAACTTTGGCCTCTGCTTGTTGCTTGGCAACATTGTGGTGACAACTAGACTATGGGAAGTCAGCTGTTCACCAAGAAATACTTACTGCACATAAGTCCTTGTAAAAGCAGCTACTGTCGTCTTCCCACACTAGCAGTTTAAGGTTTTGCGATATACTGGTATCGATGATAACCATGATATTTAAAAAAGTGAAGTATTGGTATCGTGTTAATAATCCACCGCCTGAAATCATTTGTTTCTTTCTGTTCTTGCTTTGTCGTTCACACTCCATCATAGTAGGTGGCGATAATTAATTTGCCAAAAAAGAGAGAAAACTCCCAGCAAAAGTTAAAAATACATTTGACTAATAGAATTTGTCTGATATTGGCCCTAGTTTTTTTTTGTTTTTGTTTTCATGCTAAGCTAAGCTAACTGCCTCCTGCCTCCAGCTCTGTATAAAACACACGGACAGAGTATAAGCAAATAAGCACATTTACAAAAATATCAAACTATTCCTATGAGTGACACCGTTTTTTTTTTTGTTTCAGATTCAGAAGATTTTGTTTGTATTCTACTTTTCACCCTGAATTGTGGGATACCATTTTATGGTAACTTATTACTACATTTCCCACCATGTTTGTACTGACAGTTGAAAAAATGTGATAATGGGGCTTCCTGGTGGCCTAGTGGTGCATGCCATATAACCACAACATCCCCAGTTTGATCATTTGACTGCATGACTGAGTATGGCACAATGACGAGATGATTTGATTGGCTGTGGTGACCCAGCAGTGTGCACACTGCGGCTGCAGCTGGTGTCGGCCGGTCTGTACCGAGGCTAGGAAGAGCCCCAGATTAGGAGAGGCACCCTGTTTCGTTAGTGCACCATTCATGGCATTGATTTACAGCAGAGACACTGATCATGGAGATCCCCAGTCTTGATAACACACGAGCACACAAATACACAAACAGAGACACGCACAGAATCCAGCAGCAGCTGTTCAGCTGGACAGCAGACCCATAGTGTCAACCATGGCATGACGACAAGGGCTGGGTCATGACTTCCTGGATCCAAATGTCCACTGCACATGATCTTACACAGTTGTAAATCAACAAATACAACAAAATGACATTAAAATACAGAGTATAAACTCAAAGTCTGGAAGGCAGATACTAGTGGTTTTGCATGATTTATCCGATACATTACAAATTAAGTGTATTTACATTACTGCCAACCATTTCAAGTCTCTTCATGTTGATTTTTGTACCGTATCGAAATGCAGAGACACTAATGGTGACTTGGAAACTTTGGAAAAGAGTCAGTATAGCATAAAAACATTATAATAAGATAAGGCAGTGGTTTTCAAACTTTTTTTGCCCAAAGGGGAAGCCCAAATCTCAAGGCAGACCTGTTGATGCTGCTATCACTCTGTTAACATTTATTTCCATTTATTAATGCCAAATACAATTATCACTCATGAAATATTCCTTAAAAAAATAATTTAAGATTTCATTTGAAGCAACACACCTACTGAAACCATATAGGTCACAAAATAAAAATGAGATAATGAAACTACAGTAGTAGTAAGTGTGTACATAGTACTGATGTAAATTCAATTGAATGAATGAATTTATAACTTTTTGTATAGTTGTATATTCCAATAATATTGTATGGTTGTCACAATGTTTGGGAACCACTGAGGCAGTGTACTAGATGTAGAGTATACATTACATTCAGCAGATTCGGACCAACCTAAGCCAGTACAATGCTCACCTCTCTTTTAGCTCTGCTTTGATTCCAACCAACTCCTGAGAACAATTATCTGGCTCCTCACCTGCTAAATGATCCATTATGTTCCCCAGCCATCCCTAACGGTGTCTGTCTGCTGTTTGCTGCTAAGCAGGTAGTGTACATTGTACAGAGCAGAGAGCTCAGCTTCCTGCTGCTGCTGGAAACAAGGTGGATGAGAGTGGTGGGACAGAAAGTTTGGGAGTCTCATAGCTGTCTGCCAACCATATCCCCAGTTTAGTGTCAAATGTATCTTTGACAACTACCAACATATCACCACCTTGGATAGTACTGTATTTTTGTGCATTTATTACAGTTGTTTGTGATTAAATCAGCCAATACGTCTGCCAGCCCTTAAAGGCTCCATGTCACCCTCTTGCCACCATGAATATTTATCTAGATCCGTCCATGAGCTGAGCACTGTGAAGATGATTTGCTAAAGGTTTATGGTAAAGTTTGTGTGTTTACCAAAGTTGAACTACCGGAGGGAATCGACTCATTATAGGAATTTCACTGGACTGAATTCATTTCCCCACAAACTTCACCACTAATCCAACCATTTTAAATACTAGTATCCCTGGGCCTTTAGGGTGGTACTTCTGCAAGACAGATACTAATAGAGTGTCTATCTCTGGCTATATATACAGACAGATATATGGTAACTCCTCCTGGCCAGAAGTGGATATATGCTGTATACGCTGCTGTATATCTGTGTATACGCACCACTACACCTCTGCTATCTGCATACTGAATTATGTTTGCTGAGCAGCCTAAATGCCAGTCAGTGTTTTGGTTGGGATGAGATGAACCTCCTGTGTACAGTAATAATTCTGTGTGTTGGCTTGGCAGTGGGCTGTATCATGATAAAATCAAGTAATGTTATTATGTGTAGGCTCTGGACATTATCATGGGAAAATGTTTTAGCATTACAGCATTGCCCCCACCCCCTGTGCTGGCCTCCTCCTAATGTAACAGTCCAAAGCTCCCACAGATGGTTTTGTGTTTCTGTTCTCAGCACTTAAATACCACAAGAAATAGACTTCTCTGACATGCCTGACAAACAACAACCAGACCTCTCGCTCACAGGCTTTTGCAACCATGCCGTGTATTGCTAGGGATCATGTATTTTAAGGCCAGTGACCTCGGTGTGAAGGAGCAGAACTCAACATTGTTTGAAACACTGTGAGAGGAGATAAAGCAGAAAGCACTGAGAGGAGCAGCACACTCCCTCCCAGCATGAAGAAAAGCTCTTTAACAGGATTGTTTACTAATGCATCCATCCATTCAAACAGAATGAGAAGCTGGAGGAGAAATGAGACAAGGGAGTGGCACTCCATAGGAGCCTGGGAGGTGGGGTTAAAGGAAATCACCTCATTTCTCTGGAATTTGAGGATGTTGGCTTTGTTCCTGTCCTCCGTCTCCTGTAGGGTGCTGGCTGCTTTCTGTAGAAAGGCCTGAGCGTCAGACAGCTTGATGGAGAAGCGGGACAGGAGCTCCCTGACAGGTGGGAGGCGGCCATCTGTGATCATTAACTTCTTCTCCAGCTGACGGATACGCCTGAGCACTGGAAGCACAATCAGAAACACGAGCCATTATTTTACTATCATCATTAGAGTCACATTTGAGTGACTCAGGATGTGCTACTGTAGACACTCAGGCCAAAATGGCTATCTCATTCAAATGGTGTTTTTGTAACACAGCAATGGGAAGCAAAGGGACTTATATCGAGTCAGTGTTTGTATTCAAAAACTGATTCTAATGACTTTTATCTAGTGCCACTAGCAGGTTTTGGGTTCAGAGTGAAAGGTCTCGAGTAGTATTGGATGCCATAACATTAGACATGGATATCTATGTTCCCCTCTGCATAAACTTATTACTAGTTATCTGCTGACTTTTATTTGGCAGCACCATCTCTCCTTTTTTTTCCAATACTTTGGTTTATCACCAAATGCTTACAAAATTATTGACATGTCAATTATCCTCTCCCATTCTTTATCTTTAGCGATAACAGAGTGCTGCAGTGATGATGTATTGCAGAAAAAAGGCTCTGTGGCGAACAAAGGTTCATGATACTTACACATTTAGCAAGATCATCTTCACAAATGAACACCACTTTTATAATTTTTGAAGTGTAAATGCAATCACCAGAAGTAAAAAACAAATGTTAGGATATAAAAGAACCAAATCACGCATGACTTCAACATCACCATCACATGTTCGAGTTAGAATAGTTTCAAAAAACCCATTGACTTAGAGAGGAAGGAACTGGAGGTGCAACAATGCTAACTCAGTTTGTGGCTTTAGGACTCATTCCTGCAGCACATTAGCAAATGTTAGTATAATTGTAATAACTGCTACAGATACTGGAATTTTTTTTCTTTTCAGAGCAATTCATGTATTGATATCTGACAGGATGTAAAGATAATTTCAACAAATACAACAGGAAATGCTTTTGAAATACTGAAAGGCTAAAGCAGCTTAAATAATGCACCCTGTATGATATTTGCCAGTTGGATGCTTGAAGGTGAGCTGTCAGCTGATGTGGGTTGTTTACGATTAGCTGCGATCAGCTGATGCAGCTGGGACTGTGAGCTGAGCTGCTTGAACTGATGCTATGCTCAATTAGTTAAAGGTCACCAATCAATTTTAATCACACGCACACAGCTGTCTTGATACGTGTAAGTCTGGAATATGATGTTTTTTTTATAAACTTGACTCTCAACTATAATGGTAAAAAATGAAAGACTAATTTCGAAGTCATTTGGATACAATTTCCTGAGTCCTATATTGACGATAACAAGAAATTTTCAGTGTGTGCAGTATGTTTCTGCCTGTTACTGTATGTCTCCTTACGCTCGTGGGCTTCAGTTGACTCGTCAGTGGCGATGGGCTCTCGTGGGGACAGATCCAGCTTTCTCATCCAGGTCACCATTCCCTGGGCCACCTCAGAGTTCCGTCTGACCATCTCTGGATCCACATCCTGGTGGACACTGTATAGCTCCCAGTCATGGATCATCTCTGCGCATACACAGTACATAAACACACACATATATGAGTTAGGAAACAAAACACATAAATTACTCAGATTGCAAGTGTGGACTCACCAGGAGGACAACTTCATGAGACACTAGGACAAAAGATTTGCACTCGAGCAGAGCTGTTTGATACCTTCGATTCGCACGTTGAGATCCGTGAGGTTTGTGCTGAGCTGCTCAGCCAGGGTCAAAGTCTCCAACGTGTCGTTATCCAGCTGGTTCCCCAGAGTCTTCACCACGCTCTCCTACAAAAACCACAACAGAAACTAATCAATGACTAATCAATCAGTGGCTGAAGTCACTTGCTTCTTAAGACCAAGCTGGGACTCTCAGGTGTCTTGTACAAAGATTAAGACTAAGACTAGTCTAAATAAAGGTGTTATGTTAAATCCCTGCAGGGTAAATAACGTATATAATTTGACTGACACACTGTATAGAAGCATATAGATATACAATTCTGAGTGTGGAGGCTTTTATCTGATTGTCACTGGGATGCACATGTTAAGAAATTGTGCTTAATGTATTTCCAGGGAAAAAACATCGGCTTAAACTTCTAAAGCCTTTGGAATTCCAGAGACTTCCCTTAAATGGTTAATGTGCATTAAATGAAGGATGACGGTTTTGCTGACCGATTCTCCCAGCTGTTTGATGTCCAACACCACAGCGTCTTTGGCCTCCTCCAGCTCCGCAGCCTGGGCCTTCATCACGGAGGACTTGTTTCTCCAGCCTTGAAACTGAGTCTGGGATCAAAGCAAATTCATTACAGCGGATTAGAAAGATGAAAAGCTCAGGGTAGTCTAAAGAACATGTAAAGGAAAAGGAAAAGATAAACCTTGGAATCCACTTCACCTTAGCCTGTCATGTTTAATTACAAATGTCTTATATTTCCTACATTTACAACTGGATGATGTTTTTTTGGCCAAATGGGTTCCGAACCCCAAGCTAAAAACATTTGACATATTATGGCCTTGTAAACTTATTAGGCTAATGTGTTAGGACACTATTTCCTGTTTACACACTAAGCAGACAAGCTCGGTTTTGTAGGGAGCCCACCAAGGGTCATATAATAGAAAAAGACATATAGTATTGAAATTCATTGAGTAAATGACTAATAATTAATAACTAATGAATAACGTGATTTTGAACCGTCACTCCTGGTTGAGCAATTAGCAAGCGGATTGGTAATTCCACATCAAAAAATATTATTTTTCTACCATATGACCCCATGGCGACTCCTTAGTTTTGGTCTCCTCCACCTACTGAGAAGAACATTGGGCTCTCTGGAGGCTAAATGATCCACTTTCACTTGCTAATGTTGTCTCTCTTTTGGTGCCAGGCAGGTAGTGTGCAGCAGGAGTTGTTTTGCTACATGCTGACTGGACATAACGTATATGAAAGTGGTGAAACTGAACTAAACAATACTATTGAGGGCCATAAAACCAAAACAATGAGCTAAAATAGGCTAATAATCTCTGGATGGCTGGGGGGACCACAGAGTCAGGGGGAAATTCTCAATGGGTTTGTCTCTACAAGTGATACTTTCACATTACACATTGTTCTTTAAATCATTGTTGATATAAAATATTGATTAATGTAGCTTTAACTTAAACATACATAAACATATATAACATAGGTCTAGTGTTTATAGACATTTTAATGCAGAAATGTTACTTTATATCTTTAATGAATGCTGTAATTATATCTGCTTTTGCATTGATCCTTTTATGTGTATATGTACCTGCAGCCGAAGAGCAGTGTAGTTGTAGTATTTGAGCCTGTCGTTGGCGGCAGCACCAGTAGAGATGTTTAGCACTCCAACTTTTAGCTGGTCCAATGTCTTATTTGACAGCCGCAAATCCCCAATCAGGTGCCAAATGCACTCATCACAACCTGAAACCAGAGATGAGTGGATTACAGCATTGCAGCACAGTGGTGAGTGTGGTTGAAACAATGTGCACTCTGCTGTAGTGGAGCATCTGCTCCAGCTGTTAACTCCACTTACTGATGTTGCACAGGTTGACTGCAGCCTCTGACAGGCACTCTCCTGTATGCATATCACAGTGGCCACTCTCACAGTCACACTCTGTAAAAAACAGATGCATTCGCAGTTCATCATACAGTGTAAAGAAATTTCAGAAAGTTCTGCACATCAGCATAAACTCAACAGCTGGAAACAGGTCAGAGCAGTTATCAAGACCCACAGATGGCTCAAGGCCTGCACATCTGTCTTGTGGCTTCTCTTGTGTGGGACTGATGGCTTTAGCAGCTGTGTGTGTATAGATTTGGGCTGCATGGTGATGTCATGCAGCTCTCCGCAGAGAGTCTCTGGCCACAGGGTCACATCTCTCGGCAGATGCCTGTCTGAGATCACTACTGTGGTAGTGGGTGTGGGAACGTGAGTGCTCAGCACAGCCTTTTCCTCTGGGAAAGCATTATCTGCATTTCGACAAACGGTCTGGGGGTGTTTTCTTTAAGAGACCAAGAGAACATTTGACATGTCTTATGACGGAGAGATGACTTACTCTGGCAGCCGGAGGGGCTGTAGTCCCAGTAGCCTGGAAGGCAGCGCTGGCAGTAACGACCTCCGGCCCCCGGGCGGCACGGACAGCTGAGGGTGAGAGGATGGCAGGTGGAGCGGATGGAAGCTGGCCCGCATTCACACCTCCGACAGCCCTGACAGCTGGCGAAACCAGAGTAGCCCTCCTAGATTACAGTACATGAATAAAAAACACAGTTAGTTCACTTTGAAACCTATTGTTGTGCACTAGTTAAAGATCCAATGTGTAACATTGAGGAGGATCTATTGACGGATGGAAAAATGGAATGTAATATTCATATATAATCACCTGAATATAGGAATCGTTATGTTTTTGTTAGCTTAGAGCAATTATATCTAGATGAGTCCGCCATGTTGAACCGCCATGTTGCTACTATAGCCCAGAAGGGACAAACCAAACACTCGCTCTGGATATGGGTGTATTTTGTGTTTCGTGACCACAGTAGTTTTTCCGTAGAGCTTAGACTCAAATACGCCACTAAATCCTACACACTGGACCTTTAAACCAGTGGTTCCCAACCTTTTTACCACTTTTCTATCATTGAGTAAACTGACAACCCCTAACTAACACATTTGATGCATAACTCATTTTATGCATAACAATAACACTAAAGAAAACCTGATGAACTGTACAATGAACCTAAATAGTGAACGCAACAGCTGCAGAAAGTTTGTGTAAAACAAGCAATTTGGATAAATTCTGAGCAGGTTCTGATTACATCAGAGGTAGTTTTTCTTTTTATACAATTCTGGCTCTGTTATGTATTTGAACTGCTTTAACAATCACATATACTATCTAAGCAAACTATTTAATTTAGTTTTTCTTCAAAAAATGAACAAAATGCAGAGATATAGGCCTAAAGTGCATGTGTTTTATATTTTCTTACACCCCTGAAAAACAAGAAGGCCTCACAACCAAGGAACCACTGCTTTAAAGGATAATAGACAGCAGCCGTTTTGAGATTAAATATTAGGGTAATCACTAAGTGTTACCAATGATACTAATTACGGGTTGTCGTTTGATGCCATAAATCTTGCAACAAAGTAGACTGTGGGCGGCTGTGGAAGGTTGTTGGTTTGATCCCCGGCTCCTCCCACCACATGTTTTAGTATCCTTGAGCAAGATACTGAACCCCGAATTGCTCCCAATGCTGTGCATCGGTGTGTGAATGTGTATAAATAAGTTAGTTTCTGTTTTAAGAACTTTGCCATCGCTGAGTAAATGTGTGTGAAAGGGTGAATGTGGCACGTAGTGTAAAGGGATTTGAGTGGTCGGAAGACTAGAAAGGCGCTATACAAGTACAGGTCCATTTACCATTTACCATTTATTCAACATGCAAATATATTGCCTTTTCTACTTTTTCTTCTCCAAATAATTTAAAGGTGACCTAAGTGAAACAGTTAGCAGTCCCCTCCCTCCTACCCTCGTCACCACACTGAAATTCTGATACCAGAATGTATTCTCTGTTTACTGCAGGAAGGAAGGACTGGGAGACCCATGTTACTGACTGAACACTGTATATCAGTGATGGCTGTCACAATGTACAGATATTGAACACTTATTTTAACAAAAAAGTATCACTTACAGCAGCTTTAGAGTAACCTGAGGGTTAATGTTTACACACAGGATCCCCAAACATTTTCTTTTCTTTTCTTACTACTATACATATATACTACCTGTATTACACTTATTTTTACATTCATGGTATTACTTTTCCATTTTTTACTGAGTGCAGGGCAGGTACAATGTGGGGTAATGTTTATGTGAGTTGCATATGTTTGTATATGTGAGAGTATGTCTCTCTAAGTGCAAAACTTAAAATATAGTTTTAAAAAGAGCTAACCGGGGGGTTTACATACTTACGCAGAGCTCAGAAATGAACCTGTACTGTACAATGCTACTTTTATTAAGAATGATGACCAACACCATGAAATAAGCCCCAGGTTGTAATAAACTGGAAGTCCCAGTTGGGCTGAGCAGAGTCACATGGTCCCTCTCACCTCACACTGGTCACAGAGTCGTCCGGTGACGCCCGGCTTGCAGTGGCACACTCCTGTCCTGTCATCGCACGAAGAGGTGCCACATTTGTTGCACTTGCAATCTGCGACAGACACAGGACAAATGATGTCACAAGCACAATAGGAAGGGTTATTCTTGGACTTGTAGGGCCTCGGAAAGCATATGGTAATCCTTGATCTTGAATTGTGACCTTGTCGAGTTTTTCCACTGAGCAGCAAGCACATACAGTAAAAAACAAACTCTAACTTTTAGAGTATAATGGTTTGATATCTCTGAGATGAAGAACAAACAAATATGTGGTAAAGAACTATGATGATCTTGACCTATAGCTCAAAATATTAAATGTATTACTCATTACCTTTTATAAAGGTATTATTATTATTTTACTAATTACTCCCTGCCAACAGTAATTAGTTACACTACTAGTTACTGGAGAAAGTAATATTATTAAAAAAAGGTTTTTTTTTCATTGTAACTGATGATAATAGTAACTATAATAATAATTGTGTAATACTATATACTGTTATATGGTGAACAGAGTAAAAGAGACAGTTATCATACTGTGTAAATCTATTGCAACCCTACTCAGCAATGTCAACTAAAATTGGTTAAAAAAGCACATGTTAAATTATTTAACATGTACCTTTGCATAGTCATATCGGTGCAAAATGCACCTAAAAATTCACTATATCAGCAGCCATATCTGTAATCAGTGATTATTTTCCCCTCTAAAGTCTGTATCGAGCTCAAGAATCCCATATCGGCTGGAAGCTACAAAAAATAGATAGTTCATCAAAGCTATTAATATGCTGACTCCAACACAGTGTGACATAATATCTCAGGTCATCATGCGCTGTACTACAGAGACATGAAAGAGTGCTATACTGCTGTCACTGGAATATAACAGGAGTGCTCAGCAGTCTGCCACAGCAACTGTGTCAACAAACTCAATGAAATTTCCTGCCCTCAT